GGTCTCGCTATGCAGTTCAGGCTGGCCTTGAACTCACTTCTGTAGCCCAGGCTGGCCTCAAACTCACAACGATCCTCCTGCCTCAGCCTCCCAAGTGCTCGGATTATAGGCATGTGCCACCACGCCCAGCAAAACAACATAATTTTAAGGGATTCTGAACAGCCAGAACAATCTTGAAAAAGAATAAAGCTGGAAGACTCATACTTCTGATTTCAAACCTTACTACAAGGCTACAGTAATTAAAAACAAAGTGATACTGGCATAAAGCAGACATATAGAGCAGAGGAACAGAGAAACCAGAAATAAACCTTCCCATATATGGTTACGTGAGTTTTGACAAGAGTGCCAAGACCAATGAGAGATAAAAGAACACTCATTCAACAAACTGGTTATCCACACATAATAGAATATCAGGTTCATCCTGCTCCTACAACCATATACAAAAATTAATTCAAAATGGATCAAAAGCCTAAATGTAAGAACTAAAGACAAAAAACTCAGAAAACACAGGGGAAAGCTTCACAGCATGAAACCTGGCAATGCCTTTTTAGAGGAAGGATCACAAAGGCACAGACAACCAAAGAAAAACTACACAAATTAGACTTCTGAACATTAAATTTTATGCACCAAAAGACAGTATCAGGGCTAAGAGTAGAACTCAGTGGTAAAGTGCCTGCCTACCAAGCACCAATCCACTGGGTTCTATTCCCAGTTCCAAAAAGGAAACAAAAACCCCACAATATTCATGGGGTAAAAAGTCAATCCACAGAAGGAGAATATATTTGCAATTGATATATCTGATAAGGAATTAACATACAGAATTTTTTGCATATATAAACTTTACTGAGCCATTGTTATTTTAATGGGTTTTTGAGGAATTTCCAAGATTTGTAACTAAAGTTATCATTGGATACATCTACTTGTGTAAATGTGCAACTGCCTCTGTTGGCAGCATCCTTGTGACTGGAGCTCCTAAATGCTCATTGTAATAAAGCTTCTGATTTTAAGATAATCATGGATTTCTACGCAGTCGCAAGAAATAACACAGTGAGATTATGCGTACTTTTCAGCCCATGTTCCCAATGATATGTTTAAAAACCACAGCACAATATCACAACTGGAAAATTGCCAATGATATAACCAATGATATAACCAAGACACAAATCATAAGCAATGATCCCTTGTGTGCCCTTTGGAGCCATATACATAGAGAATTTTAAAATTTTAAAAAAAAAATTGAAAAGAAAATTGAAAATTGAGCAATGCTGCACACCTGTAATCCTTGCACTGAGGAGGCTGAGACAGAATTCAAAGTCAGTCTGGGATAAACAGTATGTTCAAGTTTGGTCTACAGTATACAGCAAGAATCTGTCTCTAAAAAATAAAATTGGGGGTTGGGGTAACCCAAAGGACTTAAACAGACATTTCTTCAAAGACGCACAAATGGTCAATGGGCAAATGAAAATATGTCTAATATCACTAATAATTAGGAAAATGCAATTCAAAACTACAAGGAAGCCAGCCATGATAGCATGTGCCTGGTGATTTCTCCTACCTGGGAGGCTGAAGCAGAAGACTGCTTACACCCAGAAGTTCAAGGCTAATCTGGAGGGGCCAGGGATTTAGCTGGGGGTTGGGGATTTAGCTCAGCAGCAAAGCACCTGCCTGGCAAGTGCAAGGTCATGAATTCAATTCCTGGTACCGGAAGAAAAACAAAACAAAACAAACAAAAACAAAAAACAACTGCTCCTAGATAGTCCCAGGGCAATTTTAAACTGTAAAAAACAGCAAATTACAAATCAAGGCTAACCTGGCCAACACAGTGAGATCCCCCTCATCTCAAAAATGAAGGAAGCCAGGAGTGGTAGTGCACGCCTATAATCCCAGCACTTGGGTGGCTGAGGCAGGAGGATGGCTGCAAGTTCAAGGCCAGCCTGGGCTACAAAGTGAGCTCAAGGCGAGCCTGAACTGCATAGCAAGACCCTGTCTCAAAAAAAGGAAGGAAGGAAGAAAAGAAAACAACAACCACAAAAAAAATCCACTTCAATAACATACTACCGCATACCTGTTAGGATGGCTACTATCAAAAAAGAAAGTATTGACAAGGATGGGGAGAAATTGAACCCTTACGCACTGTTGGTAGGAATGTAAACCGACAGCCACTGTGAAAAATGGCACTCAAAAAATTAAGCATTGAATTACCACATGATGCAACAACACCATTTCTGGGTATATACGCCCAAAAGAAAAGAAACCAAGGGCTGGGGATATAACTCAGTGGCATAAGCACCTGCCTGGCAAGGGCAAGGTCCTGAGTTCAATCTCTGACACTGAAAAAAAAAAAAAAAAAAGAGAGATTTGTTTGCTTGCTTGCTTTTTGAGACATGAGCTATGCTGTTCTGGCTGGACTTGAACTCACTATGCACCTCCGGCTAGCCTCAAACCTAGGGCAGTCCTTCTGCCTCAATATCCCAGGTGCTGGGATTACAAATATGTGTGTCACGTGCCAGGCGTGGTGGCACACACCTATAATCCCAGCACTCGGGAGGCTGAGGCAGGGGATCATTGTGAGTTCGAGACCAACCTGGGCTACAAAGTGAGGTCAAGGCCAGCCTGAACTGCATATCAAGACTCTATCTCAAAAAGAGAGAAAAAAAGTATGTGTCACTATGTCTGGCATCAAAGAGGTACATATCTGTAAACCCATGCTCACAGCAGTATTATTCACAAGAGCTAAAACATGTAAAAAGCTCGTGGCACCACTACTCATAATAGCTCAAAACTGGAACCCAAACATCCATCCACTTATAAATGGATGAACAAATCATGTTATGTTCACAGAATTGAATACTGCTCAGCAATAAAAAGAAATTATTGATATACACAACATGACTGGCTCTCACAAGCACTATGCTAAATGAAAGTAGTCAAACAAAAGACTACACACTGTATGATTCCATTTATATGAAATTCCCACAAAGCAGAACTATATAAACCTAGAAGGAAGATGTGTAGTTGCCTGTACCAGGTCAGGGAAGGAAAGGACTGCCTGCAAAATGGCACAAGGATACTTTTTAGGTGATAAAATGTTATATATCTTGACTATGGAGGTCAAAATCATCAAACTGTACTAAAAAGCAAAAAACAAAAATGGGGCTGGGGATGTGGCTCAGTGGTAGAGTTCTTGCCTTGCATATACACAAGGCCCTGGGTTTGATCACCAGCACCAAAAAACAAAAAAAAAAACAAAAAAAACTGTACTTAAGTGAATTTTACTGTATTATATGTCAATAAAACTTCTAGAAGTGCCAATTAAAAATGTAAAGGCTCACAAAATATAAACTTTGAAATCGAAAACATAATTTTAAATTCATTTTCAACTACAAGTAACCATAAATTGTCTTTTCTCTGCATACAGATTGCCCTGAGGACACAAATAGACACAGAAAAAAATCACTCTTCTATCACAAAATTATGAATCATTATTTTATTTTCTCTATTTTCCAACTTTATTACTTTTATAATGTTTAACTCAATGTTTCTCTAAACTTAACTGTTTACTATTATTATCACTCCATTTCACCTTCCTAAATCCAGAAGTGTAAACTCACACAGTTCTTCAAAGTGGACAGTATAATGCAGCACTCCATTAGAACAGTGTGTCAGCTGGCAGACACTGACAGAGTAACTCATAAAAAGAAGACAGTTCAGAATTCCCACATATTAAAAGGATACCTTTCTAAGATTTTCTTTTGGCTAATTGAATTGATAAAGACACTACAGAGAGAGAAAGCAGAAATTAAAACGTGCAGTCTCGCCGTGCATGGTGCTGCATGCCTGTAATCCCAGCTGGGGAGGTTCAGGCAGGAGGATCACTACCAGTTCAAGACCAGCCTGGGCTACAAAGTGAGCTCCAGGCCAGCCTGAACTGCTTAGCGAGACCTTGTCTCAAAAAGACAGAAAACAAATAAGTAAGTAAGTAAGTAAATGATGTGCAGTCTCATCATATTTGAGTTAGACTCAAATAGGAAACATTGCTTAGGTACATTTAAGGAATAAAGTTAACTTGTTCTTACAATTTGGATAGCTAACAACAAATGTCAACACTGTAAGCTAGATACTAATTCATTCTCAAAATACTTTCACATAATATAAATAACATGTTACTTATCTTAAGAAGCTCTCTAAACATGTATTACACAGACAACATATAAACTACACAACCCTTCAAATAAAATAGAGTAAGCGTAAATACCACGCATGGCTTACAAGTTTATACTCTGGGCATATTTACAAAACTTTGGGCTTTAAAAAAGGAGAAGGCCAGGATAAAGGGAGAGACAGGCATTTACACTCTGAATTCACTTGCTTAGTCTCTCCCCACCACTAACATAGTCCCCGAGACGCTACAAGGTGCACATATCAATTTCAGACGTCCAGTGAATTCTGCCCTCACTCTGTCTACTACTGCACCACCCACCCCGGGTACTCCAAACTCTATCACCATCCTAGGTTTGGGATTGCCCCTTAGTCATTCATCAATCATCACTGTATTTAAACTTGAGAAACTACTAAAAAAAGGTAAATGATTTGCTAATTTCCCAAAAGTCCAAAAAAGACACACAATCACCAACTGTTACAGTTACAGATCAAAACATTATAAAGACATTTAAGTTTTCACCTGCAGTATCAAAAAGCCCAAGAGTATATGGCTCTCCACCAATCATAACTGTGACTGCATAGTTGTCAAAAACCTAAAAATAAAAGCATACAACATTGTTAGAGGGTAAGGAGTGGGTCAAAATGGGATAAAACAATTCCTAAGGCAGCATTTCTTTCCTAAAATGTTTTATCTTCCCTTAGTCTATATTGCTTATATAACCAACCTTGCCACCTATGCTTTCTCTTCCAAGATTTGAATGGTTCTTAGAAAAAGTAACAGAATATATATCCTGGGGCTGTCCGCTCTACCCCAGCAGATTAAATAAGGAGCTATAAACGGTTAGAGCTCAAACATGAGTGAGTCCTCTAGACACACAAAATAATGCTGGTTCAAGTCTGCAACTTTTGTGACAGTGGTTCACTTTGAAGATCAGTCTAGGGCCAGGGACATAGCTCAGTGGCACAAGTCTACCTGGAAGATCAATCTTTTTTTTTTTTTTTTTTTTTTTTGGTACCAGGAATTAAACTCATGACCTTGCATTTGCCAGGCAGGCATTGTGCCACTGAGCTATATAACCCCAGCCCCTAATGTCTAAAGAAGATTTTTCTTCATAGAAAAATAATCTGAAATGAAAATTTCCTAGATCTATGATAATCTTTTTTCCTTTCAGCATTCCAGATGTAAAGAACTTCAATGCAAACAAAATGGATTCAGAGAAGTAGATTATTTAAAGAAAGTACTGTATTTTTAAAAAAGACTGCCAAATTATTTGTTGAAAATTTCATGAATAAAATTCACACTGAATAGGTCAGGAATATAGCTCAGCAGAAAAAGCGCCTGTCTGGCAAGCACAGTGACCTGAGTTCAATTCCCAGTATCAAAAAAAATTTTAAAATTCACGTTGAAGTAGCGTTATAGCTAACTGGTACAGCACTTGACTAGCACATAAAAGGCCCTAAGCTCAACCCCCAGCAACACAAACAATAAATTTCAAACATTTCTGCCACTGGGTACAAACCACAATGTCTCCTCTGACTACATGCTTATTTATTTATAAATAGACCATAAAACCTTTAACTAATTCAGTATATAACTAACATTAGTTGTACTATATTTTTACAAATATAGGAGATGAATGCATTAAATAGGAAAAGATCAAATAGTAATCAAAAAACAATGTTTTCATACACAACTATAGTTGTATCAATTTATAAAAGTTTTTTAAATTTTTAAAAATGACTCTATTTATTAAAGAAGAAAGGTAATGCCTTCCAACTGGGAGCAGTGTGCTACATTTGAAGACCACCCCTGCTTAACACATTCACAATGGGGCTGTAATTTGTAGGTCTGGCCAAGCAGCTTGAACTACTGGTGGTATGTGCATTACTGTTCCACTGGGCAGCTTTTTATTAATTTTACTAGTAAAAAGATCAATTAAAGTGATTAGATCTGTTTGTATCACCAGTGATACAAGCCACCCAAAGGGACAGTCATGCACTTACCACCAGCAGTTTAAGGCAGCAGAAACATGTTAACCTTTTGGCACCCACTCCAATTTTTTTTGTTTTTTATTTGGGAGTTGGTTTGTTCATTTTTTGAGACAGAGTCTCTCTGTGTAGTTCAGGCTGGCCTTGAGTTCACTATGTAGCCCAGGCTGACCTTGAACTCAGTGATCCTCTTGCCTCAGTCTCCTGAGTGCTGGGACTACCGGCATGCGCTACCTCCCCTTGCTTATTTTGATCTTTTGAGAGAGGGTCTAGCTACTTAGTTCAGGCTGGCCTTGAACTCACTATGCAGCCCAGGCTGGTCTTGAACTCCTGGTGATCCTCTGTGCTGGGATTACAGGCGTGTACCACCATGCCCAGCTGGTTTGTGTTTTAATGAGTTATTCAAGAGCTTGTTTAAACCAAGCATAGTGCGTTCAAGGCCAGTCTGGACTAGACCACTTTTATAAAAAAACAACAAAAATACAAAAAAGAGTTGGAGATGTAGCTCAGAATAAAGCACCTGGGTTTAATCTATAGTACAGTAGTGAAAGGAGGAGGGGAAAAAAAAAAAAAAAGGAAGAAAAGGTAAAGGAAAGGAAAAGAGGAAGGGACTCAAAAGTAGCTCTCCCTTGCTGAATTATTCAAATATAAGACCAGACTAAGAATCAGAGAAGTGACAGACATGGTGGTACAAACTGTAGTCCCAGTACTCTGGAGGCTAAGGCAGGAGGACCACAAGAGGCCAGGAGTTTGAGACCAACTTGGGCAACATAACAAAACTCTATCTCAAAAGCAAAACGTTACCCAAAAAATCAGAAAAGCTGTCATCCATTCCAGACTCTGCTCATACTAGTGTTTGATTACATAAGACTGCTAAGTCTCATCCCTACATTGGGCCTGAATTCCCTCATCTTTAGGAGATGAGTATGGTGGTAAGTATAATTCCTTCAGCTCTAAAATTCATTATTTTAGAAATGGTAACTCAGTTCACAGATGTACATAAATATGCATTTTACACCAAATCCATTTCCATAATAACGAACAGGTACTATGGGTACACTATTTGTGTTTCATAGTCTATTTACTTAAATAGGATCATTTACAATTTTATTCTATTATTTTTCCTCTACCTATTCTTTTACGAGAGACCCACATAAACACATACAAAACACAAGCCCACCTTCAATGTAATAGAAGTCAGAAAACAGACTCAGAAACCATGTTTACAAATAAATAACATTAATAGAAACTAAAACATAAAAATCCTGACGGTTGTCCTCTTTTTGAAACAATATCCATGTATCTCCTAAAGTTCTTCACAATTGCAGTCTTCCATTTATACTACCGCCAAATGGACCAGCTCAACTCTTGACTTTTGATTCTAATCATACCTTCAAACTCTATCAAAGAAACTGCATCTTCTTTTCATCCTATATCCTTGTCCTAACTCAGTTACTTTACATGCCTGGGGATATTACAGAGACTGCCACTTCTAACTGAACATAATTACCAACCCTTTAACCTGTATTCACCTTCCTGAAAAGACTTACATATCTGAAGATTAACTTAAAGTACACGTTCTTCCCTTTCACGTCAAGAATACTAGACCCACATTAATCACACCTCAGCTTCTCATAACTCCTAAAATGGCTCACTTACCAGAGATGGTTATTGCCATGCCAGGCCAGTACCAATTCCCTTCTCACCACTAACCAGACATGTTTTTAACTCTTTTTTTTTTTTTTTTTCCGTCTTTTTGAGACAGGGTCTCACTATGCAATTCAGGCCAGCCTTGAGCTCACTTTGTAGTGAGGCTGGTCTGGAACTTGGAATGATTCTCCTGCCTCAGCCTTCAGCGTGCTGGGATTACAGGCATGCACCACCACACCCAGCCAGACACCTGTTTTTAACATAATCATACCACTAGACTGGGTCAACCTGGGACAAACAATGGATCCCCAAACACATACTTTCACAAATTTGTCACTCTAACTTTTACCTCATTGCCTTTATTACTCCCATCTTCCCTCTACCCTTCCAAGGAGTTGATATTTTCTGTCTATAGACAATAGAACATGTGTGCTCTGTCCCTAGGAACCAGTATGGAGTTCCATTACTGCTAAGAGAACAGCTCCACAAAGTGGACACACAACTACTTTCTCTGAAGTTATAAGACCCCAGTTAGCATCCCAGGAGGCTCCAATTACTGATCAATGGGCGGCGGGGGTGGGGGTGGGGAGTGGTGGTGGTGTGTGTGTGTCACCTCATTCAAGATGTAGAGCATATTTCTTTCCTCCAAACTGAGACCACTGGGCCGGGGACATAGCTCAGCAGCACAAGTGCCTACCTGGCAAGTGCAAGGTCCTGAGTTCAATTCCCAGTACAAAAAAAAAAGACTGCAACTGAGACCACCACTCTTCAGAATCTTGTCCACTGACGTTTTGCCTCCCAGCATTTCTTACAAACCCCTCAGTCACCCCTTCTGACTTTCCACTGATTTCTTAGCTGTTTAATTTTAAAGTGTACATAATTTATCCATGAGAAGTCAAGATTTTTAAAACAGGAAACAAAGGCAGACAACAAAAATTTCAGTGCACAGAGAAAGTATTTTCAAAGGATTTCAAATTACAATACACTTCACTAACAAATGGAAGCCCTTAATACTTACGGTTGGTACATATTCAGATGGAAATTTGTTTGTTGTATAGGATATCAGGAGACACGTTTTACCAACAGCACCATCGCCCACAACAACGCACTTAATTGTCTGCATTGTGGAAATAGCTTAAATATTTCAAATTTGGTGTTGACCTACAAAAAAAATTAAATATTTGTTTTATTGATTTGAACTTACATATGTACTTTTTCCTGTACTAGCAACAGGTTCATTCAGAGAAAAGAGCAGCACTAGCACAACAAAGGCTAAAAGAGCCTAAAAGGTAAAATGCAGATAAGCTCAGAGTTATAGTAATAAGGAGCCAATTTTCTAAGTTTCTAGTCTCTGGTTATTTCAACTTTTTGTTCTATTTTTGTTTTGCTTTTTCAAGTCCAAAGTGGTGCAATGAGCAGTAAGTTTCTTTTTATAATGAAGGAGAAGAGACTCTGTCAGGAAGAGTCCCATACAGTGTGCTATCATCTGTATGTGTACACACACGTATGTCTGCATGCAAACTACACCACAACACAAAAAGCCACTGGTCCCCCACCCGCCTCCAACACTGGGGACTGAACCCAGGTCCTTTGCACTGAGCTATATCCAAAGGCCTTTTTCTATTTTTTTTGTCTTGAGACAAGGATGTGCTAAATCACTAAACTGCCCAGGCTGGGCCTGAATTTGGGATCCTCCTACCTTAGCCTTTCAGAATACTGGGATTATAGGCATTGAGCCACCATGCCAAACTACTGTTGTTTTTTTTTTTTTCTTGAGCCAAGGTCTCACCATGTAGTTCAGGCCAGCCTTGAACTCACTATGTACCTCAGGCTGGCCCCAAACTCCCAGCAATCACCTTGCCTCAGCTTCCCAAGTGCTGGAATTACACAGCTGTGGCCACCACTCCTGGCACCAGACCATTGCTTTAAAGACAGTTCATTTACCCAGGTAGAGCTATAGGTACTCAGGCTATAAAAGCAGCAGAGCCCTGCCCGCTCCCGCCCCTGCTCCCAGAATATACAAGCAACGTGAGGAAGTGGACAAAAATCATTTGAGCTAATAAGCAACTATTGCAGCACCAAGCTGCCTGGTTACTATTCAATATTCATGGCATGCAGAATCTAAACCCTACATTTTTACAATGAAAAAGTTTGATCACACTAAATCATAATGGCTTATAAACAAGCACTTTAGCTTCTCTCACTGTAATCCTCCATTCTAAAATAGTACTGATTATAAATGAAACTTACTGTATTTCATCAATACTGAAATATTTTTGTCACACTTACACGGAAGTCTAAAATCAGAATGAGTTTTTATTGAGGGTGCCTTAAAATCATTATCAGCCTTTTCCACCCCAAATTTTGATACCTATGAAATTTGATGGTATAAGCCTATAATCCGAGCACCATGGGAGGCTAAGGCAGACAGATCACAAATTCAAGCCCAGCCTGGGTAATTTCACCATACTAGGTCTCCAAATTTAAAAAGGGCTAGGGGATATGGCTCACTGCAAAGGCCCTGGATTCAATTCCCAGTACCGCTGAGAGAGGAGGAAAGAAGGAGAGGAGGAGAGGAAGAGAGGAAGAGAGAAAGAGAGAAAGAGAGAAAGAGAGAAAGAGAGAAAGAGAGAAAGAGAGAGAGAGAGACAGAGAGAGAGAGAGAGAGAGAGAGGAAGGGAGAGGGAGAGAGGGAGAGAGGGAAGGAAGGAGGGAAGGAGGGAGGGAGGGAGAAAGGAAAAGAGGGAGAGAGGGAAGGATAATGGGAAAGAAGGGAGATGGAGGGAGGAATATGAGAAAAGAATCTTAGATTCAATTAAATGTCTATTTTTCTGGGAGAGTTTAAAAATAAAAGCCCTGTGCATACAGTGCCTAGATTTCAAGATACAGTCTTATTTCAATTATAATCGTGAAGGTGTTACAATTTCTTGCTGGCTAGATATGCCACCTTATTAAACATAAAAATACAGATCCACTGAACTCACCTAAATATAAATACATGGACTAGATACCCTGCTATGTGCTCCTGTATCTCCTTTCACTGTTTTGTTTTGTTTTTTGAGATACAGTCTCACTCTGTAGTTCAGGGTGACCTTTAACTCACTGTGTAGTTCTGATCCTCCTGCTTCAGCCTCCCAAGTGCTGAGATTACACGTGTACACCACTGCTCCTTTCACAATATTTAATAACAATTTTAAAATGCCTATTAATGTTTCTGTACTTAAGTCTATACCACTTCAATGTACTTTGAGGCACTTGGCACAAAGACTGGCACATAGTGCATTGTTGAATGGAAGGAAAAAAAAAAATCACATTACAAAAGAACAGGAAAGTACACTATGTGTGAGTAATCACAGAAAATATACTCTATTACTCATCAAAACTATCTAGACTAAATTTTTCTTTATTCAACTTCCTTTTTCCTTTTTCCTTTTCTTTTCCTTACTATGCACTAAGCATTCATACAAACCTGTATAGTATTAATGATCCTGATTCCTTAACCTGAATCAGTTACTGCTTCAACCTAAAACTGTTCTCAAATACTGTAGTAGTAACAGCAAATATACAACAGTAGGTGTCATGTACTATTCTAAACACATTGTACATATTCACACCCTTCATCTAACAACCCTGAGTTACATGCTGTCTTAACTCTATCTTATAGGTAACAAGATAAAGCTCAATGAACTTCAGCAACTAGGCCAAGGTTACTCAACTAGTAAGTGGCAGAATTGGAACTTAAACCCAAGCACTCTCCCAAGTCTACTATTAAACATTACACCATACTTCCTCTCCTGAAAAGTGACATTAATAAAGACAAGTATCATTGAAGTGGTAAGTATATACCTATGAGAGGTGCCAGCAACACAAAGAAGGCGGCAGAACTAAAGAAGCAAGAAGTAAAGCTCACTTCTTGTTTCTTTACCTTACGGACAACTAATAAATTTTATTGCAAGAGGAGAGGCCAAGAAAAATTAGTAAGAGTGTGCTCCTCCCCCTCTCTTTTTTTGGTCTTTCTGAGACAGGATCTCACTACACAGTTGAAGCTGGCCTTGAGCTCACTTTGTACCCCACGCTGGTTTCAAACTCGCAACAATCCTCCTGCCTCAGCCTCCCAAGTGCTGAGATTACAGGCATGTGCCACCATATCCAGCTTCCCCTTTCTATTTACCCAAAAACTTTCATTTCTTAGGCTTCCCAACCTAAGCTCAGCAATTCTTTGGAAACTGGTTGTGGGTCCCTTGTTAAGAGCCTACATTCTAGTCAAGCTGGCTCTACCACACTCTAGCTAACCGCAAGCTTGGGCAAGTTCAACATTTCTGAGGCTCAGCTTTTTAAAAATCAAAGGCAGCAGTTAAGTACTGTCTGCATATGGTAAAGTGATGGAATAAGATAATATATGTGAAAATAAGATAGTACCAGCATTTAGTAAACATTTAATAAATGCTGTTAAGTCTTGACCAAGCAAATGAACCTTGGTCAATACAAGAACTCCTAACAAACCACTTATAAATTTTAAATATTACATTTCATTTTTAATTAATTCTATACATCACTGTTCATGGATAGCACAAATGTCAAATTTTGAGCTACCATTACAAAGGGGGTCATGTGCAGGCAGAGGAAACTGAGGCATAAGGATGGCAAGTTTCAAGCCCAGCCCAGGCAATTAAGTGACAGTGGAGTCCTGTCTCACATTTTTAAATTTTAAAAATTTAAAAAAAAAAAAGAGGCTGGGGATTTAGCTCAGCAGCACAGCGCCTGCCTGACAAGTGCAAGATCATGAGTTCAATTCCCAGTACCAGAAAAAAATAAATAAATAAATAAAATAAAATAAAAAAAGAAGAAGAAGAACTGAGGATGTATCTCACTGTTCATGCCCTGGGTTCAGTCTCCAGTACCAAGGGGAAGGAGGGATCATTTCAGAGTCAAATTCGAATTTAGACTATTCTACACAACCTCTGGTAGGTATTAACATTTCATGTATTAAAAATATCATGGTGACAGGCAGGTAAAGTGGTACACACCTGTAACCCTACCACTTGGGAAGCAGAGGCAAGAAAACTGCCACAAGTTTGAGGTCAGCCTGAGCTACATAGTGAATTCAATGCTAGCCTGAACTACATAACCAGACTCTTTCCCAAAAATAATTAATTAATTATAAAAATAAAATGCCACAGCAGAGCATGGTGGCACATGCCTATAATCCCAGCACTCAGGAGGTTGAGGCAGGGGGATCGCTGTTGAGTTTGAGGCTGGCCTGGGCTACAAAGTGAATTCAAGGCCAGCCTGAGCTGAACTGCATAGCAAAGCCCCATCTCAAAAAGAAAATACATACATACATACATACATACATACATTTTAAAAAAAAAAAAATGCCATGAGATGACCCACAAACTAGAGGGAAGACCAGAAAAGAGATTTTGGTTTTACAATATACAATGCCAGCTTTAACAACTCAAAGTAAACTAGAATAGACATGTTAATATATTGTATGTTAACTTCCCAGTAAAAGTGTATCATGCTGCCAGGCATAGTGGCGCATACCTGTAATCCAGCACTTGGAAGGCTGACGGAGGAGGATCACAAATTCAAGGTCAACATGAGAAACTTAGCAAGACCTCATCTCAAAAGGCTGAGGCTGGGCACAGTGGTGCATGCCTTTAACCGCAGCACTTGGGAGACTGAGGCAGGAAAATTACAAGAGTTCGAGGCCAGCCAGAGCTACATAATGAGTCCAAGGTCAACCTGAACTACATAGTGAGACCCTGTCTCCAAAAGAAAAATGGCTGGAGCCATTAACTCAGTGATGCAGTGCTTGCCTAACATGACAAGGTTCTGGGTTCAATCCCCAATACCACCCCTACACATACACATAAAGGAAAACGGTAAGGCAAAGGGTTGGTATAACAAAAGGTAACAACAGTACATTTGGCTTTTCTCAAATCTCTCAAATTGCCTGAGTCTACCAGAGTTCTGAGGTCTAGACACTCTAGGGGAGTGATGGCAAACCTAAAACGCTCTTATTTATCATAAAGTGCCAACGCTGCAATTAAATCTGGATACTGAGATTTTATTTAGGAAAAACAACTCATATATTAACAACTTTTCTCTTTAAAGAAACATAAATAACATGCAGATTTGCCATCTCTGCTCTAAAGGGAAACAGGACTGAAACTGCTTACCCAGCTTTTAGGCAATTTACTCTAACCATCTAATTAAATGCTAACTGCCTGTTGCTGCTTAAATTGTATAATATCAGTGGTACTCACTTCAAAGTCTATGCCTTTATTTACATAAAATCCCGAAGTCTTCATGTATGGCCTTAAAACTATTTCTATCCTAACTTTCCACCTCAAAATCTTACCTTCTCTGAGACATGTTCCCTAACCATTCTAGTTATCACAAACTGTCCCAACTGTCTGGCCACCTTGTGTAAGAATGTTTGTATCCCACCAAAATTCATGATAAAATTCTGACTTCTGGTACTAGGAGGTGGGGGTGTTTGGAAAGTGATTAGATTGTAAAGGGTAAGCAGGATCAGCAAAAAGGTGCCTTCTCTGTACTAGAAAGCTGCACACCACAAGAAATTAAATCTGTTGGTTACTTGATACACTTCACTACAGCACCCCAAAGAAAGTAAGATTACTCTCCTGGCAAGGCCCTTCTTAAATCTCTTATCTTGTCCTCCTCTCCCCATCTTCATTGTCCATACTCCACATACACAGGTCTTTATTATCTTTAAACTTGACAGGGCTCGTCCTACCTTCAGGTCTTTAAAAACATTGCTTTCACTTGTTCTTGAAACTGCCAGCAATTCGTTGGTCGGCTGGTTTTAGTGTACTGAGAACTGAGCTCAGAGCCTTCACACTGAGCTATAGCCCCAGCCCTTTATTTTGAGACAGGCACTAAATTGTCCAGGCTGGACTCAAACTTGTAATCCTTAATGGCTCAGCCTCCCAGAGTGCTAGGATTACAGGAGTGCACCATCACACCTAGCTAAAGCTACAGACTCCTAAACCTTCAGATCTCACTCAAAACATCTCATCCTCAGAAGAAAGTCCTCCTCTGATCACACTACCCAGAATAGTAGCTCCCTCTCTTTATACTCTGTCATATTACCTTATTTACTTCCTCTATAGTACTGTCATAATCTACAATTATCTTGCTTATTTGTAATATTGCAATAAACAAGATGGGCCTTAAAAATAATAAAGTATCAGCTGGGCACGGTGTCACATACCTGCAATCCCAGGACTCTAAGGAGGCTGAGGTAGGATAGCTAGCTCAAGCCCAGCATGGACAAATTTAGTGATTTAGCAAGACCCTGTCTCAAAACCATAAATAGAAAAGGGCTGAAGATGTAGCTCAGTGCAAATCAATCAACCAATCAATATATAAATAAATAAATCTCCACAAAGGATTCTGTTATATGCCCCCAAAACAAACAAGAACAGTTCAATACCACCACACAGTATGTATTCAATCACTGAATAAATCAATCACACAGTACTAAATCGTGCTACTTTTATTGACATGTACTTACATTTATTTTGGGGAAAGAACTAGGCTTACTTCTGTGTTCCCCTCTCAAAGCACTTAATGTAATACTGAGCCATACACTAAGAGTAAAAAAAAAAAAAAAAATTAAAATTTTTAATATTTTTAAAGACTTGTTGACTAAAGTAATAACATGGAAGAGGGAGTATGAATCAGGCACCATGGCCCATGTCTAATCTTATGGAGGCTGATACAGGAGGATTATGAGTTTAAGGCTTGCCTGTGCTATACTGCAAGACCCTGTCCCAAAAAAAAGTTAAAGAAAAAAAGAAAAAAAAAAAGCAGCATGAGATTTTCAAAGAAAAGCCAACAGGAATTTCAACTTCAGCGCTATTACTTATGTGTATGATCCAGGTTACTTCACTCATATACCTCATTTCTTTCATCAACAGACTAATATCTAATTCATACTACTATGAACAGAAATGAGGCAATGTAATAAAGCAATTAGTACACCAGTCAGCACATTATAAATACGTAATAAGGCACTCACTGTTCTGACCAATTAAAAACTTGCAGAAACTGAAAGGATTCCTATTAGGACTACCACTATTAAACAAAAGCATCAAAACACTAAAACTGCCCAGACTGAGCTGAATTTATGATCTTCCTACCTCATTCTCATTCAGAGCGCTGGGATTATAGCCATGCACAAGCACATCTCCTCTTCTATTTGACAGAGTTATATGCTAATTTCATCAATGCTTTCAGAAATCTCTTCATTCTGATTCTGCAGCAGTTTAAACTAAATGTCACATTTGTAGCCAAGGGAACAGGAATATTACAAAAAGAGTACCCACTGCTATTTTAGAAAAGAGATAAAATAACTAATCATACAACAAATGTCTACAAAGTCTCTAACATGCCCATAGAACACAATATAAAATGGCCATCAACAGCATGAACTTTCAAGCCAGCAGCCCCAAAGCTCACAATCCATTTTTTATTCTGTTCAACAACCTCCCTCAGTTGGGAATGGAGATTGAACAGGGCCTTCAACATTGAGCTAGATCCCCAGCCCTTTTTTATTTGAGACAGAGCCTCATTAAGCTGCAAAGTGGTCCAGGTTAGACTCAATCTTGCAATCCTCCTGCCTCAGTGTCCCAGGGTGCTGGGATTACAGGCATACACCACTAATTCTGGCTGGGATTACAAGCATGTGCCACCATACCCTCATATTCCCATTCTTGTGTGGCTATGAGCAAGCTTCATTTCTGCATTTGTGAAATGGAGAAAGCAGTATCAACATCATAGGTCATTCATGAGAATTAACTGGGCTACTTCACATACAGCACCTAACACTCAAATATGAGCTCTTATTATCCTTGCTAATTAAGAAACAGCCAATTTAGAACCCTATCTCGCCAATCTTTTATGGCAAAATGTATCCTCTACTTCAAGATTCAAGTCATTCATGTGCTCCTATCAAAAATAACAGCACTAATAAAGCAATCAATTAGAAAAAATACAATAAAATTTCTCTCAAAATACTAGAGGAGTAAAAAACAAAAAATATTAAGAGTATAGTGGGTGTGGTGGTGCACGGCACTCAAGAGGCTGAGGCAGAAGGATTCCCTTGAGTTTAAGGCCTGGATGGGCTACATGGTTGGCTCAAAGCCACCCTGAACTACATAAGCAAGACCCTGTCTCAAAAAAAAAAAAAAAACACCTAGGAGTACAAAAGGCAATTTTTTGTTTAAAAAAAAAAAAAAAATCAAGATTAACAAGAAACAAGTCTTTCATGTAAAGAACACTACCATAATTTAATAGATATATTCTTTGATCTGGCAATTCCATTTCTGTGTCCTTCTCCAAGTACACACAGAGGTAAACACAAGGATAGTCACTGCAGACTTGCTTGCATGAGTAAAAGACATTATGCACACATCCAAAAAGAAGAAAACTGGTATAACAGGTGATAGTATAAAGAATATTATGCAATTATTAAAAAGAATGAGCTACAGAGTTAGAGTGCTTGCTTCGCATGTGTGAAGCCCTGAGTGCAATCTCTAGCACTACCTAAACAATTTCTGTCTCTCTCTCACATACACACACAAAGAATGAGCTATACTGCCTACTATATGATGGACTGCATCTTCCTCACAATTCACATTTTGAAGTTTTAACCCCTAGTACCTCAGAATTGAAGATAGGGCTTTTAAAGAGATATTCTGTAGAATGAAGTCAAACAGTGGACTCCAAGCTAGTATGACTAGTGTTTTTATAAGGGAAGATTTGGGGCTGGAGGGGTGTAACTCAGCAGTAAAATGAATGCCTACCTAGCATGACCATAGGTTTGATTTCTAGTTCAAAAGACCACCCCACAAGAAAAGATTACAACACAGAGGAAAAAAACATGTGAAAACTAAATTGGTCATCAATAAACTATGGAGAGAAGTCCTCAAAAGAAATCAAACCTGCCAACACCGTTTCAGACTTCTAGCCTCCAGAAGGCTGGAAGTAAGGAAATAAATGTGTTTAACTCACCCAGTCTGTCATATCCTGTTATGGCAACCCTAACAAAATACAGTGTGCCAAAATGGATGCTCTCCAAAACAGTAAGTTTTTAAAAACCAAGATGCAAGCTGGGCAGAGTAACACATGCTTATTATAATCCCAGCACTCTGGAAGGCTGAGGCAAGAGAATTACAAATTCAAGCCCAGCAATTTAGCAAGACCCTGTTTCCAAATAAAAAATAAAAAAGGGCTACAGTTGTATCTCAGTGCAATGGCCCTGAGTTCAATTCCTAGTACCACCAAAGATAGACAGGTAGGTAGGTAGGTAGGTAGGTAGGTAGATAGACAGACAGACAGACAGATAGAAGACAGAGAGATGACAGAAGATAGATTAGATAAAAGCAAGGTGAAAAACAATATGCCAAAGCAAGGTGAAAAACAATATGCCAACTTATGTGACTTTTTCTTTAATGGAAAGGAGATACATAAACTTAAGAGATGCAGGGACCATCCATAAAGATATACAAGAAACTGGTAACAGTGACTGATTTTGGGAAGGAAATATTGGTGTCTGCAATGAATAGATTCATTTTTTGCCATATTCCCTTTAATACTAAAGTTTTCACCCGTGTATATAATATTTACATTACTTTTAAACAGAAATACTAAAGTAAAAGTATCTATAAAGCATATTCAACTAAAAAAGAAAAACAGAAGCTGGGCATAGTGGCACATGCCTGTAATCCCAGCACTTGGGAAGCTGAACTAAGAGACAGCCCAAAGTTACAGGGTAGCCTGGGCTACATAATGAGCTCAAGTTCAGGACGAGCCTTAACGACATGGCTAGTAAGATCATCTCAAAATGTGTGTGTGTGTGTGTGTGTGTGTGTGTGTATGTGTGTGTGTGTGTGTGTGTGTGTGTGTATTTTTTAAAAAAACATATTCAACAGCTGGAAGTGGAGGCACATGCCTGTAATCCCAGCACTTGGAATGCTAAGGCAGGAGGATCACCAGGTGCTGGAGGCCACCCTGGGCTACACAGTGAGTTCAAGGCTGGTGGGTGGAGGATTGAGAGAGAGAGAGAGGGAAGTGGGGAGGGAAAGGATTCTAAGAGCCGTAAAAAATATTCACATCATTTGTAATCTCACATCAGATCATTTATCCAAAAGGAAGAAAATACCTTATCACAAAGCAATGGAGCTGGGCACAGTATTATGCATCTGTAGCCCCAGCTACTCAGGAAGCAGCATGAAGCAGTTTGAGGCCAGCCTGGACAACTTAGCAAGACACTATCTCAAAATAAAAAATGCTAGAGATATAACTCAGTGATAGAGCCCCTGGATTCAATCACCAGTAAAGGAAAAATAAACAAACAAAAAAGGAACAACAGAATGTAACAACCTCATGATAGTAATAGCGGAATACAGTGGAGCAGACTTATAATCCTAGTACTCTGGAATGTTGAAACAGGAGAATCCCAAGCTCAAGGCTAGATAAGGCAATTTAGCAAAACCCTAGCTCAAAATAAAAAAGAGCTGGGGATGTACCTCAGTGCAAAAGCTCTGGCTTCAATCTCCAGAACCACAATGTAGCCTCAACCTCCTGAATGCTGAATCTATAGGAATGTGCCACCACATCCAGCTACGTCATAATCATTTTGTTATATCTGATGAGACAGAAGTACCCACATTCAGATTCTCATACAATCTGTCTTATAAACCACTTTTGCTATTTTTTAAAAGAGTAAAGAAAGACAAGATTACAAATTCCAAATCAAAACACGTGGTGGCACATGTCATGTAATTCCACCACTTGGGAGGCTGAGGCAGAAGGATCACTTCCAGTTCAGTTAGCCAGGGCTATACAGTAAGTTCAAGGTCAGCCTGAACTGCATAATAAGACCCTATCTCAAAAACATAATCAAAACAGCCTATCAATTTTGATAAAAGTTTTTATTAACAGAATGAACTTTGAAGCAGCACTGAAACATACTGTAAGAAATTACTGTGCAGGAGCTGGGGATGTACAGTAGCAGTGGTGAAGCACTTGCTTAGCATGCAGGAGACCTTGGGGCTCTGGGTTCAATTCGCAGCACTGTAATTTTAAAAAAAAAAAAAAGCTGTTCTAGAAGGAATAGTTAAGAGGCTGTATAACATGTTACAAAGTATCAATGTAGTACATCTAACATGAAACTGAAGTGTTTTAGCTCATTTACATAAGAACCACAGTATCTTCTATTTATGGAAGAAAAAAGGGGGGAGTAGGGGTAGCTCAGTAGTACAGCCTGCTTATCCACCTAGAACCTTAAAAAAGTCAAGAAAACTAAACAACAGAGGTAAGAGTTGCAAAGACCTTGAAAAATAACCAATTTGTGTTAACAACAAATCCATCTATTCACGCACTCTGAAACTAGCAGCAATATAATGTTGACACAAACTCCTACCTTGATTATTAGTTGTTTCTTTGGAAACTGTACACTGTATTCTGAAAATTAACCTCTTATAAGAGTACTCCAAATGCATTATAGAATATAACTGCTTAATGTCTGTTTCTGCAGAGTTCATACAATATCAATCATACTAACCCTGTCACTGATTGAAAGAAG